CAAGTCCATATGTTAAGTCGTTTCGGAGGAGTTTCCCGGACAAGCCGACCCTCTGAAAATCAGAAAATCGTCCATATCTCACGACCGGAAGTGAGATAATCAAAAAGGAAAAAAACCTATCAAGATCAGTTGAATATCTTTCAGATCTGAAAGTTTGGTAGAAATCGGACGAGCCATCTCTGAGAAATCGCTTGCACAAAATCGGTTGGAAGAATAATAATAATAATAGGGAAAAAGAAACCGAACGAAAACAAGAAGGTCTTCCGTTGGAGACGGAAGACCTTAATAACTAGAGCAAAGCTCGTTGCAAAGCAACGAGTGGGTCTTCCTTCTTAGCTATAAGCAAATTAAAGGTTTCTTTTTAGATTCTCAACTTTGCTAACGTTCTCTTTTTTGCTTTGTCCCCAAAACCCTTACTTGAATTCCATAAATTAGTGTGAGCATGAGTTCTAATGATACCCTCTCTGACAGCATTCTTGAAAGTGTACACACAACATTTAAACTTCCATTATTTTGAATTTCGATATCGGATATATCATCTTTGTTGCAATCATGTGCTGTAGCGAAATGTGTCATATTACAGAAACATAGGTGTTTTGCTGCATTACCATCTTAAAAATGGCTTTAAAAACGTTTTATATACAATATTTAACTCGAAAAAAAAAATTACACAAATTAAATTAAGTAATCCAAATGTGTTTATAATAATGATTAGCAATCTCCATTGTTTGACAATCAGTAAGTAGATCAATACTTTTACAAGAAACACACAGGATCGTGTTTTGTATGTTTTGGATTTGCAGCTTTCCACTGGCAAGTAGTGGTACCTCAACAGGAGTGTAAAATTCTCTGACAGGTATACTGTAAACAAATAACATAGGGCTGTGTTTTTTTTTTTTTTAGCATCTTTGGCAGAATGCAGCAACTACTAAATCAAGTACAAAGCTAAATGTTTTGTACATGTACATAAACACATAAATAAGAATACTAAGAACTATTCTAAATCAAATCTACTTTAACTTATTCAAAAGTCAATTTCCGCCAAAAGACAATATCCGCCAAATATCGTACACACTAAATATAATGCATTTAAAGTATTAAAAAAAAAAACAAATCTATTTTAAAGTATTGCCTTACATAAGAACCATTTGAATCCCCTATACTGAAGGATGCTCTATGCCAAGTTTGTCTTTAGCTCTAGAAAATGAAATTGTGAAATTCTAGACACTGGTGATAATGCAACAGGCACAGCTTTGCAGATTTAGTGCTTCATTGACTTTGAAATGTGACAGGAATCTGGACATCTCGTCAATCTTGTATTTGAAAACTTCATGTACATGTCCACTGTACGGAATTCCTTGGTATCCTGCACATGGTTATGCCTTAGTTGCATGTGCCAAAATAGCAAATTTCTTACATTATACAGTAAAAATACACATCCATGTATTACAAGATCTTATATTGCTGCTGAGGACAGAAGATCTTTATCTTAATTAACCATTAGAATAAGTAAGTTGAAACTTCGAAATAGAAGACCTTAATAAAGAGGTCAACATGCAAAACAAACAAAATATTATATTTAGAAATAACATTTATTCCAAATCCAATGTAATTACATGTATTTCTGTTACAAAATTTATTTCACTTGAAAAACTGAGAGCAATTGATATGTTCATATTTGTGATATATGATAAACGGTGAATTTAAAAGTTGTCTTCATGAACTAAAACTTGGCTTAACTTCACTATGCTGTTTATTTCTTGTCACATCAAAACAGATGCTCTTTTGGCAAATCATAGTCATGCTTTGTATCAAATTTCCGAATTCAGATGTGTCACACCTATCCAAAAAAAAAAAAATGAAATTTTTTAATTTATAATTCCTTGACTAATAAAATGTCAATTCAAGAGATAATTATAGGCTATCAAATTGAGTTCTAAGATATTGTCACATTTTTTGTGTATAATTTGTATAGCACGAGTTCACACAACACGAAGTCTCCCTAACATGAGTTCACACTACACACTCTTTGCTAACATGAGTTCACACATCATACTGTCAGGTTAGCAAGAGTTTACACAACACAATGATTAGCTAACAAAAGTTCACACAATACACTGTCTCCCTTACACGAGATTACACAACACACAGTCTCACTTACACGAGTTTACACAACAAGCTGTAGAGCTAACACGAATTCACACAACAGGCTGTCTCGCTGACATGAGTTCACACATCACACTGTCAGGCTAACATGATTTCACACAACACACTGTCCAGCTCTCAAAAGTTCACACAACACACTGTCTCGCTTACACGAGTTACACTACACGCAGTCTCACTAACTCGAGGTTACATAACAGGCTGTCTCGCTAACACAAGTTTACACAACAAGCTGTCAAGCTAACCTGAGTTCACACAAAATGCAGTCTCGCTAACACAGTTTCACAAATCACACTGTAATGCTTACACAAGTTTACACAAAACATGCTGTATTGCTAACATGAGTTCGCACAACACACTGTCTTGCTAACATGTGTTCAAACAACACGCTCTTTCCCTAACATGAGTTCACACTTCACACTGTCAGGCTAACATGAGTTCACACAACACACTGTCTTGCTTACAAAAGTTTACACAACATGCAGTTTCGCTAACATGAGTTCACACAACACGCTGTCTCGCTAACATGAGTTCACACAACCTGCATTCTTGCTAACACTAGTTTACAAATCACAATTTCAGGCTGACATGAGTTAACACAAAACACCCTGTCTTGTTAGCACGAGTTTACACAACATGCTGTCAAGCTAACACAAGTTCACACAACACGCTGTCTCGCTGACAAGAGTGTACACAACACGTTGTTAAGCTTACATGAATTCACACAACATGCTGTCTCCCTAACACGAGTTCACACGACGTGCAGTCTCGCTAACACTTATTCAAAAATACCACTGACAGTCGCTAACACGAGTTTACACAAAACATGCTGTCTTGTTAACACAAATTTATACAACACGCTGTCAAGCTAACACTAATTCACACAACATGCTGTCTCGCTAACCTGAGTTTACACAACATGCAGTCTCGCTAACACTAGTTCACAAATCACACTGTCATGCAAACACGTGTTCACACAAAACATGCTGTCTTGCTATCAAGAGTTCACACAACATGCTATTTAGCTAACATGAGTTCACACAACACACAGTCTAGCTAACAAAAAGTTCACACGACACACTGTCTAGCTTACACGAGTTTACACAACATGCAATCTCACCAACATGAGTTAACACAACACACTGTATCGCTAACATGAGTTTACACAACACGCTGTCTCGCTTACACGAATTCACACAACATGATGTCTAGCTAACACAAGTTTACACAACATGCAGTCTCGCTAACCCTAGTTCACAAATCACACTGTCTTGCTAACACGAGTTTACACAACACACATTCTGGCTAACAGGAGTTCACACAACACACTGTCATGCTAACACGAGTTTAAACAAGACACGCTGTCTTGTTAACATGAGTTTACACAACACACAGTCTCGCTAACAGGAATTTACACAACATGCTGTCTCTCTAACACGAGTTCACACAACATGCTGTCTTGCTAACATGAGTTCACACAACATGTAGTCTTGCTAACACTAGTTCACAAATCACACTGTCATGCTAACACGAGTTTACACAAGACACCCTGTCTAGCTAACAGGACTTCACACAACACATTTTCAAGCTAACACCAGTTCACACAACACGCTGTCTCGCTAACACGAATTCACACAACATGCTGTCTCGCTAACACCAGTATACACAACATGCTGTCTCGCTAACACCAGTATACACAACATGCTGTCTCGCTAACACTAGTTCACACAAGACTCCCTATCTTGATAACATGAGTTTACACAACACGCAGTCTCGCTAACAGGACTTTACACAACACGCTGTCTCGCTTACACAGTTAACACAACACCCTGTTTCACTAACACGATATCACACAACATGCTGTCTCACTAACACCAGTTCACACAACATGCAGTCTCGCTTACACTAGTTCACAAATCACACTGTCATGCTAACACGAGTTTACACAAGACACGCTGTCTCGCTAACAGGAGTTCACACAACACTCTGTCATGCTAACATGAATTCAGACAACACATTTTCAAGCTAACACCAGTTCACACAGCACGCTGTCTTGCAAACACGAGTTTACACAACATGAATTCATGTTCACACAAAACACTGTCAGGCTAACACGAGTTCACACAAAAACATTGTCAGCTTATACACTGTTTTACTAACACAAGTTCACACAACACACCGTCACATTGCTAAGTTTAAAGTTAGATTTGAATTTGAAAACATTTACCATTATATGGTAACATCTCTATATTAGTTAAAAATTCTCGAATAAGATCTAACACAACATACAATCAATCAAGTAGCATTAAGCCGCTGATCCTTACATGGCAGGTTCAAATCCCACTCCTGGATGTGGAGACAGCTCAAACAGGTTCTTCAGATCTGATGAGACTGTATAAATTGAGGTTTCGTTTCACAGTTGGCACAAAAAAATCCCTCACATCTCAAAAACCATAAGTGCTGAGTACATGTCACTGCTGTGTACATTTGCAGGCCTCTGCCAGCAAGTGATCATAGTGATGGCATCATAACATGACTGAAAAATATTTAAAAGGACAATAAACAAACAAATAAACCAATACTGCAGTCTTACCAAGGATATGGCCCTTCATGTAAGTGTCAAGAATTAAACAAAGTTAGAGCTAGGCTAAGTGACATCTCCATGAGTCATAAATTCTAGAATGGGATGTAAACATGGTAAATAACATACTTTATAATTAAATTATAATCAATAAGTTTATTTCATAGTGACTTCATATTAATAATTTAGAATTAAGAAATAGTCAATAACAAACACACAGTGTGAAACCTTGTCTGCATGTTTTACAGCACGACTCACAAAATTTACACAGCTATTATAATGTAGTGCTCACGCACTACGTGACATCATATCATAAATAATTTAGGTATTTTCCAACTTTTCCAAGTGTGATGATCCATAGAGCAGGAATGATTTTTAAGGGTTCTGCAAACCACAAGACATGGCCACTTAAATATTATAATTTTATCTGTCAGATGGGTAAATATTAGGGCTGGGTATTGAAAGAAATTTTTCGATACGATACAAATTGCAATACAGTGGTGCGATATGCAATACATATTGCCGATACAGACAAATGAGAATTTATTATTATTTGCAATTTTTTTTAAGAGGTGATAGTGTTTTTTGATTAAAGCATAAATTTACAATAATAAAACATTTTAAATCCTTGTTTTTTTATTCTCTTTCAGTTTGAATGGACAAGTGTATGAAAGATTAATGTTATTTGCTCATATTTTTCTTCAGAAAAATCAAGTCATTGATCCACCTAGGTTTCAGACAAGCCCTTGTGCATGTAAATACAGTGGCACTGGTGCTAAATACCCGACGTTCTGAAGCCACAGACGACATCACACATTGACCTGTTTGACTTTGTTGATACTTCACTTGACGTCATATTCGTGGAAGTAATGGCAGATAGAATATTTCACCAAAGTTAAAATAAACTACGACTTCAAAATTCTGATTGAGATCTTATAATCGCAATATCGGTTTACATTCCATGACTTTTTTTTCGACGCGCCATCTTACCTACCGGAATTGCTTCCAAGTTTCACAGTAGCAAACAGGTCAATGTTGCGATGCCGTCTGAGATGGGTAATAATATATAGGCTCGTTGTTCCGCCAGAACTTGCGACCTCTTGTTGACAAATATAATTACATTTTGCCTTTTTGCTGCTGACTTTTACGTAGCGACCCTACACTTTTGACATGTTTACATGCGTTTAACCGATTTTAGATAAGTCGTTCGTAATGTTATTCACTTTCACGTTTTTCTTTCTCTTAATTAAACGTTGAAATAATCGAGCAATACACAAGCATCTCTGTATCGGTTATCGTATTGCTAAAAAATATTGATATATACTGATTACCGATATATTGATCCAGCCCTAGTAAATATATATTCAATATATAGCTTTTGTAGTGTCTATTCCAATCGCATTATATGAAATATGTCTTGTATTTAAGGTATGTTTTCAAGTTTCGTGTGAATTATTGGTGTGAGAATCACACAGAATTGCATGTAGGCATATTTTTCATGAAGTGCGGTTTTCACAAATCAATTTCACAGTTGGCTTTGTAGACAAACACGGCAAATGTAAATATATCCTGTTGATGTCAATTGTTGCGATGTAAACAAAACTTCCCACTGACTGAATATGAATGACGTCACAATAGAGTGGTGTGCATATTCAAGATTAAGACATTTTTGTGATCAAGCAGCCATGGGTAGGAAAGAGCTTTATTTAGACTCCGGACCATGGTTTGAGACGATGCCAGATCCCCTCCCCAAAACAATTTAAGTAACAATATGACAGTCAGACACTAACCGCAAGGAATACCAGGTTCACTATTTTAAGAAAATACAAACCCTATTTTATCCTTTTCACCGCTGCTAAAACTGCATCTTGCTTTTCACAACTTGATCTAAATGAAGTAGGTATCTAACTCATTTTTAATTCGAAATTAGATGTAATTTTAAGATTATTCAAAAGCTTTATAAGGTTTATAAGGTACTTGCATACTGGAGGTCCAAATGCTCATATCCCTTCATTGTTCAACCAATTTAAAATTTTTATATTTGCTATTTTGAATTAGAAATCATTATTTTTCTGAAGTATATAAATTTTTGGAAGCCTCCTTTATTTAAAAAAAATTATTTGGTAAAGATTTTCCACCAAATATTTCTGCTATATTTTCTTAAACTTGGTAAGACAAAGAGGGAAAACCACTGAGTCGACCTCCAATATGGCGGCCAACGGGAGGTCTTTCTTCAGGCCTATCGAAAACTATCTATTGCAGTAAAGATTTGATAAAAATGGGTTTAATCAATTTATTAAAAAATAAATCAATTTATTAATGTAAACATAATTAATGACCTTGTACATGTTGTAACTTGTAGGCTTTTATGAAAATATCAATTCCTGTATATTTAACATGTGTAAATTTATGTTGATATGGAAAAAAGCTTACCTTCTTTCAAAATGCCTGTGTTTTATATCGTTTATACTCCACAGCAAAGCCGAAGACACAAATACAACTGTTAACTGCGTTCTTACCAAGTTACTCCATAAATGATAAACGAAAGATGCAAAGGCGCCGTCAGAATTTCCTCGCGATCGGCACACAAAATCTTCGGACAGTTTAAACATTGGAATTAATACATCCATAAACGAATGCTCCATATGTAAGTAATCAGAGAGTTTATCTGCACACTATTCTAGCCGTGGATTGAATAAAGCGTGTATACAAACGCAATCAATGTTAAAATAAAGATTACATTCTATGTTTCACGTTTGTGCCATGCTGGTTCTTTTTCCCACAGTCCGACTCGATGGGGCACACTAAAAACGGGATATACTAAAGATCTGATATTTACCTGACGTTCTAATTTTTAATTAAATGGTAATATTGAGTAATGAGTATTTTAAATTACTTATGTACTAAATTATAACTTTGATGCATTATGCTATACAAAATTTCAATTGTTTGGAATATTTACAGACAATTTAGAATCAGGCCAAATCAGTTTTTAGTACATCGCGTCTTTAGTGCCATCCTATATCAATGCCGCGCGTTGTTTACAAACAAGAGACCCCGAAAAAAATCCTCTAAACTAATTATTGTACGTTGTGTACATCACAACATTTTAAAAATTTTTGAATAAAAAGAAAACAGAGAAACATCGAATCAAAACTATATTTTTCAGATGCATCAATTAAAACTGTGCACATGCAGTAAAGGCTTGGCTGGCTATAGTAGACAACTTGTTCCTGAAAGGTTTCTCACATACATGTACTTGTTTTATATAAAAAAACAATTAAATATAGCTGGTAGTTTATTTCTTTTTATATCAAATGACAAGATTTTAGAAGTTCAAAATTATTTCAGTCAAACTTTTTCATAATATACCAATATTTTTAGCTATCAGAAAAAAGCGTGTATGATCTATTAACCCCTAATTATAGGGGCCAGCCCCTTTTCGTTAATCAAATATGAAAGCTCTCGTAATTACCCACAACTTTTGTTCTATATTTCTTACCAAATTATTCACGGTTTAAAAGTTATTACACAAAAAGTAGCAAAAATTCAAAGAAAAAAAATTACTAAACTTTGCCGTTTTATAGCTTCCAAACTTTAAGAAATCAGCTATATAATTTTATCGTTGTGCACATCTACAATGTATTGGCTACAAGTTCTCCAACTTTCGTGTAAATATCTTATGTCGTTTTTGAGATTTTTAGTGGAAACGAGACATCAAAAATTTTCAATTAAAGGGCAATAACTCACAAATAAAGGCATGCATCAAAAAACTGAAAACAGGTTTAAATAGGTTTTACTACAAGCTATCTATCCTGAAAGTTTCATAACGATCCGTCCAAAGGTCTTTGAGAAATCGCCGGTCAAAAATCGAGCGGGAAAAAAAAAAAGAATAATAAGAAACAATAGAATAACAGTAGGGTCTTCCGAAGGAAGCGGAAGACCCTAATAATAATAATAATAAGAAACAGAGTAAAAACAATATGTTCCCCAACTTCGTTTGGGGAACATAATAACATAAGTAGGGGTGCTTGTAATGATCGTGAAATAACGGAAAAATCCGTCGTAATTTCAGTGCATAAATAATGGACTGACAATTTGAATGAATTTCAAAATATTCAATCATCATAGTATTTTCTTTCTATAGAATCAATCACAAATCATAAATTTTATTTCTTTAATAAATTATTAATGTTTTTGTAAGCAATGGTATGTCCATGCGGCGCAACCTCGAAAACGACGTTTTTTCGACCTAAGTGTAACTTAAAAAAAACTAGTGTGATATGAACATTTGACGTTAAAAAAATCCGTTTTTTTCAGGTATGTATTGGGACACTATTGTTCCATAAAATCTTTAATTGTTACCTCATTCTTGAAGTTCTATAAAATTTTATCGTAAATTTTACATGGAGTAGCCACCCAGCTAACACAAAAACATTTTTAAAATGTTTTTAAAACATTTTCAAAATGTTGCGAAAACATTTTTTAAAATGTTTTAATCACGTGATTTTGTATGGTTTTTTAAACGTTTTTAAAACATTTTAGTGAAATATTTCAGCAAAATGTTGTCAGAACATTTTCTTAAAATGTTGCAAAAACATTTTCAATAATGTTTTAATCACGTGAATTTGTATGGTTTTTTAAACGTTTTTAAAACATTTTAGTGAAACATTTCAGCAAATGTTTCTGGAACATTTTCTTAAAATGTTACGAAAACATTTTTGAACAATGTTGTAATCATGTGATTTTGTATGGTTTTTTAAATGTTTTTAAAACATTTTACAAAATATTTCAACAAATGTTATCATAACATTGTTATAAAATGTAACAAAAACATTTTCAAAAAATTTTTTTTTCACGTTTAATTTGTTTGGTTTTTAAACCGTTTTCAAAACATTCACGTCGAGGTTACAAAAGTATTTTTACTGAAATTTTACTTTTCTCATTAAATAATGATATACTAATATTTTAAAAGAAATAAACACAAATTATATTTAATTTTTGAACCTTTAATACAAACCCATATTCAATTTGTTAATCACATTTAAATTCCATTCTTATTACAAGTTTTAATTTATTTTCTTTTAAGTCACTGGGTTTTTGAAAACGGCGTCTAATCCATTCACTGAATTTTAAAAGAACAGAATCACAGAAATCCTATGTTCACAGTATAGGTCGAACAGAGCGGCGGATCTATAAGACTTAGTTAGAATCACATACACTGAAAAGGTTGATAAGGAATCCGCCCCTCGGAAAGAATAGCACAACCTGTAAAGATAAGGAAAATTGTGTTTGTATCAGCGTTCTACATCTAATGTATCTTAAGATGATCAATGAAAATATACAAAATATATATATATATATTTTAAATAATTATATCAAATTAAAGTTCTTTCCTCATTTGCATTGAAAAAAGCAGAAAAATAGTTACTATGACAATATTATTGAAGAGTAATAGTATTTACGTACACCATTGCCTTCACCAAAGGCGGGTCTTTTGAATGTGGGAATTTGAAAATACGGATGATGCAATCAACACCATGCTGTAAAGAAATTTCATTTTTAAATCAACATATTGTTTGATGATTTTAAAACATTTCACAAAGACAACGAATACTTGAATCAAGGATATAATTCTGTTGACTTAAGAATGGAATATTCAGATCAAAAACATGTGTATAACCTTAACGCTTTGTTATTTCTTAATGGTACATACATTTGTACAAAGTTATTGATCATGCACTGGTAGTATAAAAGTCATTTTTAAATGATCTTTTAAAGTCTATGATAAAGGAATAATGCTTACCATTCAAAGTTAATAAATCCCGAGGTTATTATTGTGGTTTTATGGTGCAAAGTCTTCTCATTCAAATCGGCACGGAGTAAGCGTGCACATCTTGTTTACCAGAATTCAAAATTTGGCCTAGATAAGCTGCAAACCACTATACTCTGTAACACGCTGCCCAGCAGGAAAATTGCATAATAGGTTATCATGACACTGAAACTGACCAGTGTGCCAATCCTTATCTAATGCCTCGGAGTAAAATCCTGGGAGTGGATCACAGATTTGATGAAGAACATTTAAAAAAAAAAACCTTAAGAGTTTTATCAAATGCTTATGATTTTTTACATTTATTTATATTTTAAATTTTGTGTTTGCCTATCCTTTCATTTATTGATTTTTTTGATTTGATTTAATTTAAGGACTTTATATATGTCTGTTTAATCAATAAGCCAAAACTAAAAATCATTAGAAAATATCAGAAAAAATCTTTGAATTAAAAATTTACTACAATTCCTCATTTCAACGCCATTCTTTCTATATATTTTTTTTCTTCATAAACTAAATTTTAGGAACATCGCAATCATACATTATTTGAATGTTTGAGAACATTTTGAAAATAACATTAAAAAATGTTGAAGCAATGAAAAATAAAGTCTTTAAAAAAGGAAAACACATAAAATTGAATGTTCTAAAGTTATTCTCACAACATACTCTTAAAGTTAATAAATGAATTAAATTGTGCCGCAATTACAAAAATGTTTCAGAAACATTTTGAAAATGTTTCCAAAAAATGTTACAAAAACTATAATTAAAATGTTTCGATTGAAAGAGAAAATAATTATTTTAGTTAATGTTTTAAATAAACATTTTCACTGCCTAGGCCGAAAAATATCCGGAATTTAATGTTTATAATTAACAGCGATATTAAGAATGTTTTAAAAATGTTTTTAAAATGTTCCTTACAATTTTTACAGAAACGTATAGGCAATGTTTCCGTTTTACAGAAAAAGAATGTTTCATTTAATGTTTTAAGAACGTTTTTAAAACGTTTTATAAGATCTTTAATATTTGGAAGCTATACATACCCTTAGAATAAGTTTAAGAAAAATTTTTCCTTAAATGGATTGAGAATGTTTCAAAAACATTTTGACAACGTTCCTTCCAAATGTTTCAGAAACGTATTCATGCAATGTTTCAGATTTATGGAAAAGGAATGTTTCATTTCATGTTTTTAGAACGTTTTTAAAACGTAATATAAAAATCTTTGATATTTGAAAGCTAAACATACCTTTTGAAACATTTTTAAAACGTTTCAAAAATATTTTAGAAAAATGTTCCAAAAGGATTTAATCATAAGCTTCTTGAAAACATTTTAAAAATGTTTTTAAAATGTTATAAAGAGAAGAGGAAATGTTATAAAAATGTTTTTAAAATGTTTAGTCTGAAATGTTTCGAAAAAACCTTTTTACAACACCAATAAAATGTTTTGAAAATGTTTTGTGCTACCTGGGTGCAAACACATATTGCCTTGAAAATGACGTCAAAAGGGGCTGGGGTTTTCTTTTCCAACATTCTTTGAAATTCTGCCCCTGGAAAAACTGGTATACACCTAGGAAATGTTTAAACTGGCTGCGGAGAAATAATATGCACCCAGATTACTTGCTTTTTAACGCCAAAATTGATTAGAGAGAAAAGGAATGCACAGTTAATGTCGATCTGTAGTCAATGTTTGAAAAATCAATCACATCAACATTTTCCGAATTATATCAGTACTAATTAAATAGCCGCAGTCCATGAACTTTTTGATAACCCCTCGATATATGATAAGTTGTTAAGACTGTTATTTTAATGGACATATGAGTAAATTCAAGAAAAATTCGAATTCTTCGAATCAATATACATTGTATTAAGTAACATGTATTTACCGTCTGTATTACAGCGGGTGTTGAAGATCATGATGTCGTCGATATATACATAAGTTCGAATGTTGTTCTCCAAAATAATCTAGAAATCAAATAATTGACCTAAAAAGATTGCTTTTCAAGGATGATGCCTTGTGAATCGACAGTCATGTAGGTAAGGAAATGCATTTTTCTTCCGTCAACATCAGGTAAGCTTCTGTCAGTATAAAACCCTTACTATCTTTGGGAAAGAGGTGTAAAGTTATAAATAGTATATGTATATGGAACTTGTAAATATGAACACCACTAAAAGATACGTTTAATGTGATAATACTCCTGCTTTTGAAAAAAAAGTTATAAAAGAGTGATGAAAAAATTAAGGTTAATCCAATTAAAACAAATGTACGTTACACCACATTTAATTCACAATCTTTCAAGAGCTTTTATAATCAATTTTTCGCTCAAATATAAAAGACCATTTGCTGAGGAACATCATAGTCTCGTGCATACATACATGTACATTTTAAGATTCATTTATAAATATTTATTGAAAATAAGCAATATAAAAATAATTCGAAAATTGCATTCGCAGAATCTTGTTTATCTTTTATCGAAGTACCTTAAAGGGGTGTTGTATATATTCTTGATCTGGACTAGCTTCTGCCAAGATCCACATTTTTGCAGGAAGATTCGAGGCCGGTATGCTGTGAAAAGGATAGCCCGGATGTTCCCCAACCTTTTGAATGAATGTAATGCAACATTTATACCCTGTTTCAATTTATTTGCGTATATTTTTTTTTTTATTTTGTGCCATTTGTATTTTTGACATACAATGTCTTTCGCCATATAAATCCTTATAAATGTAGACTACATTTATCAGTCATAGGGTCCGGTTTGATCTTTTTTGTCCATCAGATAAAATGTAATGTTATTAATCTGAAAACAGTAAATCTTTTTGAAATATTGCTACTGTTATATTACCAGGCATTTATGCAAAATGTTGGGGTAAAGCATTTCTTACAATATATTTCCAGGCATTTATGCAAGAATTTGGGGTATATTATTTCCTTTATAGCCCTTAAAATACCCCTGGCTTGTACTGCTGATACCCCAATTATTTTGTTTACGAAGTTCTTAGAATCTTAAAATACTTGAAAAGTCAAATGCTAGGAACAATTATGAAGTTTTTTTTAATATTTTTTTTTTTTAAAAAGGGATAGAAAGACTTATGTTCGGGCAACGTATTGACAGACTTTAACATTTGAATTATATTCAAGCTCACTCCTGGGAGCAAAATTTCAACAAATTAAAACTTAAGACTTTTTCTTTAGCTGATAACAGAATTATGGAATTAATTAAAAGAAGGGACATGATTGATTTCATTATTGAATTACCTGTAAGGACAACTTGATAGCACCAGTAGTTGTTACTGCATAAAGTCTAAAATAAAACCTTATGCAATACGCATCTGCTGGTTGAAACACCTTTGACGTCAACTTAGAAACATAGGTAGTCGCAGAATCATAGAATACGTGCCCTGGTGGATGAAGAAAAAATATTTTTCTTTACAAAGTTCTTACATTTGTCTCACACTTATGCTACATATTCAACTATACTGAAGAATTAAATAATGATCCAGTTCAATGCCAATTTAAGAATAACTATATCTTTTTTAAATTATACTTTACAGTATAGCTAATAGCTGGTAGAGCTACTGAAAAGATATGATGACACATGAGTAGTATAAATTTCCTTTCAGAAGTGAAATTTCAAAGAAATTACCCATGCATGGAAATATTATCTAAGGGTTGTTTTTATGTTAGTTTTTATAATTGCAAAATTAACTCGCTTTAAAGAAGGTATGATTTTAGCTTTATCGTGCCAAATTCAATGTTTTCAAGAAGTTTTGAAATTGGCTAAAATATTAGTCGAGTTTATGACTGTGTTAGATAAGAAAAGAATATGGCATAAAGGAGTACCATTCTGGAAATATGACGTCATTAAATTGATGCATTCTCTACTTTAAAAAGAAAAAGCCTGAAAACGACTCAATTCAAGGGTAATTTTCCTTCAGAAAATAGTGTCCACAGCCGTCGCCCACTTTGTTTTTGGATATTTGTGCAAAATTCAATGAAAATTCACATATCTGAAAATCTTTGTGGGCGATGCCTGTGGACAATATTATCTGAAAGAAAATTGGTGTCTTCTGCAACTTTTTAAAGAAAACACGGGAAAATGCACATGTTATGACGTTACAATTAGCATTTATAAATGCATATGGGAAAAATAATTTGTATGGCTTTTCAGCATGGAATTCCAATGATTCAGAAAGCACGACTTTTCATCTTTTACTTAAGTTTCATTTTTAACAAAAATCACAGGGCAAGATTTGTATTGAAACCATTATTTGTTCTTTAAACCACCACCAATAGTTGAAATATATCAATCAAACAATCCAAACCAATCGAAACGCCTAAGTGTACCTTTTTTTAGAAATCCAGAAATCCACAACAACATCCTATGTATTTCTCGATTTCAGAGTACTACTGAGTAAAAGAATTTTGATGGCATGCTTATTTAATGGTGCGTTAATTTATCACGTTAATCGATAGCGATTGAAAAAAATAGGTACAACTATTTTTTTTTTAATTTACGTAAAGCAATTTAGCAATATATTCTTACCTATTTTGGAACCAAATGTATGATCAGGAATAACCTGACTGATGACAAAACGTAGCGGAACAAACGTGCATTCATCATCTTCGTTGTCCTCGAAATTACAATACGTCAGATGATACAAATGCGTGTTTCCAATTCCTTAAAACAAAAATAAATTCAACAATACTTTAATTGTACAATTCGAGATCATTTTAGAGTTAATTAGATACTTTACTATGAAATTAGCCAAAAGTATGTGTGCTTTGATTTTTTATTAAAGTTTTATCTTATCTAGATGAAGGCCTTTAACGTTCTACAAAAACAAGAAAAAGTTCCAAAAACGTATTGTGGAGGAAGCGTTCCTTACCAAGCAGTGATTGTGTATCACTATGCAAAAAAAAAAAACAGGAATAAGAACCGTTCTGAACCATACAGTGATAGTGCTTTACAAATACATTTTGAGTGCTTTATAAATCAGGTATTCTATGAAGTTTTCAACAGTGTAAGGTATAAAGAACAATTAATGTCAAGCGAAGTGCTAGGAGGGATAGACGAATGTATGTTGACAGTCTGGCACAAGAAGCTGAACGAGCTGTTCACATGGAGAAATGAGCACTGTTTATAAAATAACAAAAAAGCTATGTGGTCGCACTACAACTCAACCTGCTCTTGTGAAAGATAAAGATGGTCACCCACTGACAACAGAACATGAACAAGCCAACCGTTGGGTACAATATTTCCAGGAAGTACTAAATTGCCCAGAACCCAATGAACCAGCGAGTCCAGACCCTGCAGTTGAAGACTTAGAAATAAACTTAGAACCACCAACCCTCGAAGAAGTCCAAAACTGTATTAAAGCATTAAAGAATGGTAAATCCCCAGGCAATGACTGCATACATGCTGAAATGCTGAAATCAGATATTGCAACATCATCTAAAACGCTATTAGATTTATTCGTACATATCTGGGAAAATGAAACAATACTACATGACTGGAGTAAAGGACTCATTGTAAAGCTGCCAAAAAAGGAGATCTCCAAATTTGTGACAACTGGAGAGGCATAACACTGCTCTCAGTCCCCAGCAAGGTGTTCCGTAAAATACTGCTATACAGAATAGACAAAGTGATTGAAAAGAAACTGAGAGAGGAACGAGCTGGATTTAGAAGAGGAAGAGGGTGCATAGACCAAATTTTTGCCATTCGTAACATTATAGAACAGTGTATTGAATGGCAAACGCCACTGTGTATCAATTTCATTGATTTTAAAAAAAAGCTTTTGAAAGTGTTCACAGGGAAACACTTTGGAAAATAGTAAGATCATATGGAATACCAGCAAAGATCTGCAACATCAAGAAAACATTTTATTCAAACTTCGAGTGTAGTGTCATCCTGGAAAACGGAATATCGGACTCCTTCAGTGTAAAATCTGGAGTACGGCAAGGATGCATACTATTACCAATTCTCTTCCTTATGGTCATTGATTGGATCCAAAGAAACACCACACGTGACAAAAAGAGGGGTATTCAATGGACAATGTTCAGTCACCTAGAAGACCTGGATTTTGCAGACGATCTGGCAGACGTATCAGGAAACATCATCCATCTACAAGAAAAGACTGAAAAATTAAACTCCTTTGCCAAACAAACTGGGCTTAACATCAATTCCAAGAAAACCAAGGTAATGACAATCAATGCACCAGTAGAACCAGTCACATTAAATGGAGAGCCACTAGAGGAAGTTGAGGACTTTACTTACCTTGGCAGTATCCTAAGTAAGGACAACGGCACTGGTAAAGACATAAAATCACGTCTCAGTAAAGCACGGACAGCATTTGCCCAACTTCAGCCCATCTGGAAGTCAAATAAATACAGTCTGAGAACCAAACTCCAGTTTTATAACAGCAATGTCAAATCAGTTCTCCTGTATGGGTCTGAATGCCGATGCGTTGTCGACAGTGACATGAAAAAAGTAGAGGCATTCCACAACAACTGTCTCCGAAAAATCAATCGTATATTCTGGCCAAACAAAATCCCAAACATAAACCTGCACAAGAAAAGCAAAAGCAGAAGTATAACAACAGAAATCAAGAAGATTGAGATGGCTAGGACACGTAACGAGAATGCCCCAGAGCAGGATACCCAAAACAGCCCTACACTGGACACCATCTGGATCGAAAGAGGAAGCGATCGAGGTAGACCAAGAACAACATGGAGAAGAACCGTAACATTAGAGTTAGAGGAAATGGGCTACTCCTGGGGGCAGGCACAGTATGTGGGAAAGGATAGAGGAAGATGGAGACAGCTTGTTGAAGCCTTATGTCCCATCGGGGACAAAGAGGATAAGTAAGTAAGTAAAAGCATTCTTTCTAGTATAAGTTCTCTGAATATGTCAGAAGATTCTTACCTAGATTTCCTAACGGTCCACAAGTTTGTTCTATAGCTCTATCCACGTCATCTTTCAGAAGGTTCACCTCCGTGTTTATATCCAGTAGTTTTGCTTTTAGTGTTTCATAAGTTTTTTGAAACGTATGCATCGCGATGCAACTTTTTTCAATGCTTGCGTCAACAGCTCCTTCAACGTTGCCAGGAAAGAAAAGAAGAAACGACACACAAATAAGGAGATACATTGTTGGATAATTAGTTCCTGATATGATGTACCCGTTAGTTATTTTTCTCTTATAAAAGAATAACGTCAAACCACGTGTTGGTTTAACGGCACCGTATTGGTCAATTTTAGGGCTGTTCCATATTTTCTATGCCAATTTCGTCAAGAGTTTTCTTTGTTTATCTTTTTAAGACTTCAAAATTTGTAAAATATTTAGACTTTATTACAACTTTTTTTTATCTGTGTAAGAATTTAATATTTTTGTAAATATTTTTGAAAACTTCTTATCTTAATGCACATTGGATTTTGCTTTCAATCTTTTCAAGTTTTTAAGAATATAAATTGTTCGTTCTATGGGTGAATTTTAAAAGAAATTCTTAATTCATCAATATAATGCTTTTATCTATCGAACAAACATTTACTTTTAATTTCGTAACAGACACCCAACATGTTTAAAAAATCTTTTCTCTTACGAATGTTAAGATTCCTGCATTTACCCACAGAATTTGGCTGTCTTTTTTAATAAACATGAACATTTTTCCAAAGATTAAATATAGATTATTTCATGTTTGACAAGCATGCTCTAACTAGGTCTTAATGACAATTTAATTCCTTTTCACAGTAAAAATGCCAATTCTGTTTGAAAAAGGTTATATAATAACGTCAGGCTAAACCAAAAATGTCGGCGCACTGGGTGTTGATTATCACAGTCATCATTCCACTTTTTGTCACATACAAATATCGAAGACGTATTGTCAATTGTCAATGTTTATTTCAATTCTTATGTCGATACGAAATATCCCGATGAGCTTGAAATAAAAGGTATTAAAGAGTCAGTCTGACACATCCGTATCATATGTGGATATTTTACTTGAAAAGACATAAATGGCAATCTAACAAACAAGCTTTATGATAATCGTGACCAATTTAATTTTTCAATTGTAAATCAACTTTTTTTATGCAGCAATATACCCTCATCACCTGCACACGGGGTTTATATCTCCCAGTTGATTCGTTACACAAGAGCATGTTCTATGTATGAAGGATTTCTCAAAAGACTTTATTTATTGTCAAACAAGTATATGAAACAAGAATATCAGCAGTCTCATTTAAATTCATAATGTTGTACCTTCATGGTCATTACAATAACCCTAGATGACAGCAAATACAATTTGTTATTAAGTCAGATGCTGACTGACGTTTTCATACTAATTGTTTGTCCATTATTTACACACTAAGTTGTCGACATTTATTCGTTATTTCCTGATCATGACAAGGAGCACACGGCGGGTGTGACCGGTCGGCAAGGAATGCTCACTTCCCAATGACACTTGGTCCACTCTCTGATATTTAGTTGGTCCGTGGTTGATCTGCTCCAGCTTTGTACTATTCAAGGACCTCTGAAATATAAGTACCTCTGAACTTATATTTCATTTACCCATATTGTATCATTCACTAACGGCCAAAATGTATATCCTTTTATACTCTAGATATGATAAAATATATAAAAATATTGGAGATGAATTTCATTTTTTATTTATTTGTCCAGTTTTTCACGATTTAAGAAACAAGTTGATCAAACATTACTACTCCCGAAGACCAAGTGTCTTCAAGTTAATACAATTATTCTGTAGTACAAATACCAAAGATGTAAATCAGTTAGGGAAATATATATATCATGCTAATAAATTACGAATGGAATGTTTAAATTAATTAGCTAAATAATAAAAAGTATGTATCACTAGTCGGTAAGTGTATAACATGTTATTATACTATATGTATGTAATTGATAAATACAATGTTGTACTTATGATGCTTATGGGATGTACGTCCCACGGAATAACAAGAGGCCCATGGGCCACATCGCTCACCTGAGCACTGTGGCTAGGAAAAAGTAGAAATTGGTTTCTTATTGAAAAGTTTAAATCAAAAAGTAGTCCCATGACCAATCATGGCTTTGCTATTCTTGAGAAGAATTTTTTAAAAATGTTCCTATGTATTTCTATGCAAAAATTGTGTTGGCCATTTTGGCCCCGCCCTACCCCTGGGAGGCCATGATTCGAACAAACATGAATCTACACTACCTGAGGATGCCTCCATATTAATATGATCAATTTAAAGCTTTGCTTTTCTAGAGAAGAAGATTTTTAAAGAATTTTCCTATATGTTTCTATATAAAACTTTGATCGGCCATTTTGGCCCCGCCCTACTTCTAGGGGTCATGATTTGAACAAACTTGAATCTACACTACCCGAGGATTCTTCCGTATAAATATGATCAATTATGACTTTACTATTCTTGAGAAGAAGATTTTTAAAGAATTGACCTATATATTTCTATTTAAAACTTTAGTCGGCCATTGTGGCCCCGCCCTACCCCCGGGGGTCATGATTTGAACAAACTTGAATTTACACTACCTGAGGATGCGTCCATATAAGTTTTATCTTTCCTGGCACAGTGGTTCTGGAGAAGATTTTTAAAGAATTGTCCTATATATTTCTATGTAAATCTTTGGTCGGCCATTTTGGCCCCGCCCTATCCCCCGGGGGTCATGATTTGAACAAACTTGAATTTACACTACCTGAGGATACTTCCATATAAGTTTCAGCTTTCCTGGCACAGTGGTTCTGGAGAAGATTTTTAAAGAATTGTCCTATATATTCCTATGTAAAACTTTAGTCGGCCATTGTGGCCCCGCCCTACCCCCGGGGGTCATGATTTGAACAAACTTGAATCTACACTACCTGAGGATGCTTCCATATAAGTTTCAGCTTTCCTGGCACAGTGGTTCTGGAGAAGAAGATTTTTAAAGAATTGTCCTATATATTTCTATGTAAAAATTTGGTCGGCCATTGTGGCCCCGCCCTACCCCCGGGGGTCATGATTTGAACAAACTTGAATCTACACTACCTGAGGATGCTTCCATATAAGTTTCAGCTTTCCTGGCACAGTGGTTCTTGAGAAGAAGATTTTTAAAGAATTTTCCTATATATTTCTATGTTAAACTTTGGTCGGCCATTGTGGCCACGCCCTACCCCCGGGGGTCATGATTTGAACAAACTTGAATCTACATTACCTGAGGATGCTTCCATATAAGTTTCAGCTTTCCTGGCACAGTGGTTCTTGAGAAGAAGATTTTTAAAACATTCCAACAAATTTTTATTAATTCCCAATTATCTCCCCTTGAATGAGGGCGTGGCCCTTCATTTGAACAAACTTAAATCCCCTTTACCCAAGGATGCTTTATGGTAAGTTTGGTTGAAATTGGCCCAGCAGTTCTTGAGAAGTCAAAAATGTGAAAAGTTTACAGACAGACAGACAGACAGACGGACTACAGACAAAATGTGATCAGAAAAGCTCACTTGAGCCTTCGGCTCAGGTGAGCTAAAAAACAGAACAGAACAGAAAATATTTCGTTGGAAGGGAAAATGATGTCGCGAACGGAATTCATACTAAGCCATCCCTTTTCAAACAATAACTAATTACATGTAGTTAATTGATACGCAGTATATATATATATTGTTTTTCTCACACTTGAAACTCGTTGACATATTCTTCTTCTAGTAAAAATTTATCCCAAAGTTTTCGTCTTCAAGACCTTTCAAGTCTTGGCAGGAATAAGAATCCAAATTCCTGACATATCGTGTCAGAGCTGCCAAATCAATGAACTAAGTGAGACGCATGATTTTGAATGAAATTAATTCAGAGCATTTAATATATAATAGTTATATTATTATATTATATGCGGCCCATTGGATGTGATGATCAGAATCTTAAATCTACACTTTCCTGGGAAGCCCCTTCATAAATATGATTGAGCATCACAGGTTTTTCTGTTCCTGAGGGGAAATTTTTTTTTTCTATGTATTCGTGAGAAATAATTTGATCTGTTCTAAAATTACCCTGCCTTTGAGATATTGATTTGAACAGTCTTGAATATGCACTACTTATAAAAATAGAGTGAATCTAATGCGGTCATTTGTTACATCAAATTCAAAATAACTTTTTGATAGGTTTTTAATTTTCCATATCTATCTGATTTTATTATTTAGCTTTTCGATATACTGACTAAATATAACTGATCATAGCAAAGCTGTTCTTAAAAGATTAAGAATTAAGCATTCAAAAAACTAAATACAATGAATATAATGCGGCCATTTGTTAAATCAAATTCAAAATTACTTTTTGAGAGGTTTTTAAATTTCCATATCTATCTGATTTTAATATTTAGTTTTTCAATATACTGAGTAAATATAACTGACCATAGCTAAGCTGTTCTAGATTCCTCCAATTCATATCCAAGTTTATTTTTAGAAAAAGTTTAAACACATTTATTTGGATACATGTATATCAAATGCTGGTATTTGTTTTAATGAACTCTAAGAACTGTACTAAATTTTATTTGAGAATTCAAAAAACTAAATACAAGGAATCTAATGCGGCCATTTGTTAAATCAAATTCAAAATTACTTTTTGATAGGTTTTTAAATTTCCATATCTATCTGATTTTAATATTTAGCTTTTCTACTTGATTTAATTAAATCCAGCATATCTTTCGAGGACTTTGAGATCTTAACCATATTGTAAAAGCTAAGTGTAATTTTCTGTATAAAGTTAATAAGGATTAACAGTGTAAAGAACATCCAATAGACCATTTTTTGATTCAAATCGACCCAATACGAAAACTTCGCAAATTCATTTGGAATCAATTTATTTTATTTGCATACTCAATTTGTAGAAACAATTATTATAATTACATATTTTCTGACTTATCAAACCCACATTTATATAATCATTGCATGCATAGGAATTTACAAACTTATCAAAGCACATTCTTTGCATATAATTAACAATTTATACATAAACAATTATAGAAAAAAATGCATCAAAATTTCATAGTGAAATTGAGAGTCGTAAAATGTCTAAATAATATTGGATTTCTGGTTTAACCAATCACAGTGTTCGGATATTGATGACTGGGCGCGTGACTGATGCCATAGGTCATCTCGCAGATAAAGGAATGCTTCTCAGCACACCCGACATCTCCCCATTCATAGTCGTTGTTGTTTGTCCTGTACTGTAGCATCACACAATCCTGGTCACCATTCATGTTGTTGGGTTGACCTTGGTGCCAGTTTGTATAATTAAAAGGAATGGGGTTCTCAGACCCGATCCAGACAAAATTGTGTTCGGTATCAATGTCGTTCCCACCGATCCAAATTCCAAAGTCAGCAGCATATGTCATTGCTATTCAAAGAATTCATTCAACAAATCAATTAGATGGCTTGTATGGCGATTATTGTTTTAGACGGAATAGTATTATATAATTATATGATTTTTAAGTTTCGGGGGCATATAGTTTTTGTCGTGTCCGTCTGTCTGTCTGTCTGTCTGTTTGTCTGTTTGTCCGCAAAAACTTTAACCTTGCCCATAACTTTTGATTAAGTGGAGCTATGATTTTCATATTTCATATGTATATTTCTTGTGACAAGATCTTTCTTTGAGTACCACCAAATTTGACCTTTTGACCTTGACCTTGGAGTTTGACCTACTTTTACATGAAAATTTTAAACTTTTACTTTGGCCATATCTTTTGAACAGTAGACATCAGGACATTTATACTTCACATATGTAATGTTTGTTAAAAGACCTTTCACGGGATACCAACAACCTTGACCCTGTTGATTTCCGTACTTGTGAAAAAACTTTAACCTTGGCCATAACTTTTGAACGGTAAGGGATAGGGCTTTCATACTTCATAAATGTAATCCTTGTGAGAAGACACTTAATTGGATACCAAGAACTTTGACCCTTTGACCTTGACCTTTGAGATTGACCTACTTAAAAAAAGCAAATCTTGACCATAGCTTTTAAAGAGCTATTTAAAGAGCTAAAGGGCTATTGCTTTCATACTTTACATGTTTGATCCTTATGACAAGACCTTTCAATTGATAATAACTTTTCTTTGGGTACCACCAAATTTGACCTTTTCACCTTGACCTTGGAGTTTGACATACCTTTACATGAAAATTTTAAACTTTTACTTTGGCCATATCTTTTGAACAGTAGATACCAGGACATTTATACTTCACATATGTAATGTTTGTTAAAAGACCTTTCGCTGGATACCAACAACCTTGACTCTTTGACCTTGACCTTGTAGATTTCCGTACTTGTGAAAAAACTTTAACCTTGGCCATAACTTTTGAACAGTAAGGGATAGGGCTTTCATACTTCATAAATGTAATTCATGTGAGAAGACCCTTCATTGTATACCAAGAACTTTGACCCTTTGACCTTGACCTTTGAGATTGACCTACTTTAAAAAAGCAAATCTTGACCATAGCTTTTAAAGAGTTAGGGCTAACGCTTTCATACTTTACATATTTGATTCTTATGACAAGACCTTTCATTTGATAACAAAAACTTTGACCCTTTGACCTTGACCTTGGAGTTTGACCTACTTTTTAAGAAATTGAACGTTGACCATAACTTCTGAACGGTTAGGGCTAGGGCTTTCATGCTCTATATAAGTATTTTATGTGGCAAGACCTTTCATTTGATTACATAGACCTTTTGACCTTGACCTTGGAGATTTTTGTACTTATTTTAAAAAAACTTTAACATTAGCTTACTTTCAAATTTCACAATTGTTTACCAGTGAGAATACCCTACTTTTTTGACCAATTAATTAAATTTGTATTAAGAAAAGCTTAATTTTTGCTATGTTGCCATACGGGGGCATCAGTGTTTTACAAACACATCTTGTTAGTCTTGTTTTTAGATATAATTTATGAAAAATTATATTTGTTGTTTGTAAAGCATCTTTTATGTTCAAGTTTAAATATATATTTCTTCCATATTTTTAATGCAATAAAAAACAAACCTTGCGAGTTATTGATATGGTAGGAAATAAACGTCTGCTCCTCTGCAGTTTCAATCTGAAGAAGTGATGCATCAGGCCAGACCCGCTTACAAGATTTAATAGCGTCAACGTAAATAAGAGGTTCAGGATGAAATGTATAACAGCTGATACTTGAACCTTCCTTTCTTGTAAATGAACCGAAGGGACATACGGGGCTTCGTACACCTGAGAAAATACATATAGGCATATTATACATAAAAGCCACTCTGTCAGAATATCGTTATGTAATATTATTTTTGAAACATAATATATTTTACAAATAAAGCCCTTTCATGGGGTCAAACCATAGACATGTCGACTTCACTGAAAAGCATATCGAGATTTAAAATTTATATATCAGATACAAATACAACTGATACAGACAGTTTTTCACTTCGCAACCTGAGCAGAGGATGCTCCAATATTAAAAGGACAAATCATGACTTAATGCTGCTCTGTAAAATAAAATTTAAAAACAATTCAAATAAACTACTGTGGAAGACTTTGCTTTTTTTTAAGTTTTCTCTGTCAAAATCAAATAATGTTTATCCCATTTACTAATGGACTGAAGTGTTTGGGCCTTTTTAATACCCCTTACCAGTTTCCTTTAAAATTCAACCTCAAAATTAGGTCATGGTTTAGCAGAATCCCAATTATCTCAACTAATTGATTGATTGATTGATTGTACATTGTTTAACTTCCCTTTCGAGAATTTTTTACTCATAAAGAGACCAAACCAATTGCCATTGCAGAGCTACAAATTTTGTCCTATACTCGGGACTTAGGGCCATTGATAAGTGAGAGATTTTTTGTGCCAGCACCTACTGCGACACGGAACTTCGGTTTGTACGGTCTCATCCGAAGAAGCAGTATCCACGTCCCACATTGGGGTTCGAACCCGCCTTGTAAGGACTGACTCTTTACTTTGCGTTTCTGGATCAAACGCTCTAACCAATGCACTGCGTGGGTACCCGGTGAATTTCTTAAATGAGATTTGCAACGTGATAGAAAATGATAAGGCATCCATGGTTCAGATTTTAACGGAAACATAAAAAATCTAATATACTAGAAAAAACACTTGATGTTAAACCTACATGTACTTTCTGGAATTCGGCAATATTTCTAATTGTATATTATGTTTAAGGGAAAAAGGCTAGAAAAAATAATTGTGCCATTCCAAATTTTCTACTCACCGTCTGCATTACAACGAGCGTTGTAGATCATGATGTCGTCAATATATACATACGTTCGAATGTTGTTTTCCAAAATAATCTAGAATCAATATGATTTTGATAAATACATGTAGAATGCTAATGCCTAATAGATGTACATGTTACAATTAACTTTTCCTTCCTTTAACACTTCATGAGAAAATGAGAATGAAGAGTTAAAAATAAATGTAATCACTTGTTAGACTACCAATCTTAATTGTTTCTAGGTATTATGTAAGATAATTAAGGATGAATGACGATAACAACAAGATATATGATAGAATAAAATTTTAATTGTGATGCCATAACCTTGATTTTTTCTTTTTGAAATATTTTTTTCTGCACACAATATCGAAGGATAATGTCGGCAATACCACCTAGTATACTTTTCAACAAAGTCTGTGATCAAAGTGTTCATATATAGAAAGGGAAACGAAATCATATTTTATAGTTCCTTAACGAGGAAGCATTTCAGAAGAAATTCATCAATCAAACATATCAATCAACACTCTCTCGATATGTACGAAATGCTACTGATGATCAAGGGTAATTTGCAACAGATTCTTATGCCTCTGAATTGAAAGAATAAAGTCACTCTCAAGAAAGAGTTTTGAAGAGAAAGCATTACATTTTGAGCTGTTGGAAGTTGTTAATTAAACAGAGACCATGCACCGTCTAACACAAGACGAGAGGTTCCTTGCCCTTAGCATGCTACAGGTTGCTAAAGACATGTCGCTGTGGCAAGGGAAATGAATGTTATCCAGTCTGTTATCAGAAGATTACATCGTGATACTGTACAGCTTTTGTTCAGTAGCAACAATTATCTGGTCGACAAGGAGAAGAACTTGGACACAAGACAGATTCAAGTAACAGCAAATCAGATACTGAGTAATGTCTCATTTCTTCAACGGGATACTGGCTTTGTGGTGATTGACCAGACCATCAGAAATTAACGACACCGATTTCACTTACACCCCCGACGTTTGGCATCATTCCCTGCTTGAAAAATAGTCACAGAATGGCAGGTGACTCAAATGGTGTCGTCACCATTAATGCTAGGATGATCGCCGGCGTTCTCAGATGAGTCGAGGTTCACTGAGTCGAAGTTCATTGAATCGAGGTTCACTGAGTCGGGTTCCTCGACGGACGCAGAAGGTTTGGCGCCGACGTAACGAACGTTTTCTGCGTTAACATTATTAGAAACGATCAATATCAGTCATGGTGTGGGAGGCATCAATGTTGCTGGCAGAATAGACTTGCATCTGGTTCCTGCACATGTGGACGTGTCACGGGATAGAACAATCGGAATAAAATCTTGACACCTCATGTTGTGCCGATTACATGCCGTTGTGGCTTTCCAAGAAAACAATGCCAAAAGTCATAGGTCCATGATCGGTTTATATTACATATAATGTATCTCCAACAGATATTACCACGACGCGCACTCAGTCCGGACCTTTCACCCATCGAGCATGTCTGGGATAAGCTTGGACAGCGGCTACGCCAACAACCTCCCGTGAATGTCCTAGAAGTTGCTGCAGCATTGCAACAGGAATGAAATAGCCTTCACAAAATGACCCTGAACGTCTCGTTAGGAATACCAGTATGACACGCCAAGTTTGTCTGGTCAATCGAGCAGATTATATCAACTACTGATTCTGATTTCCAGCGGTGGTAAATTTGCTATGTGACCCTGTGTTGCTGTCGACCCATATTCTGTTGAATCTGTCCTTTTCTGACTGAACGCATGGTTTTGAATGAATTGACAAATGATTTCTTAATGGTTATCCGTCATTTGTTCTTTTTTGACCTTTTAATCTGCATTTTAATCCCCTACTTTACGGTTAGGGGTCTGTTGTAAAAATTAGGATAAATAGTCAAGACTACAGAGGTCATTTCACAATCATCTTATGATGTATATCTCGTGAACTTTTAACTTTAAAATTTTTCTGCTAAGAGAAAACATGTAACATGAAGATTTCCAACTTTGAACTATGACATTCCTAGTCCATTGCTTTAAATTTTCCTTAGAAGGAGTTATTACCCTTTTCCAATTTTTTAAGTTGAATAATTGATTTAATAAAGAAAATATTCATTTTTAAATTCTTTTATTTAACAATATTTATCATTACAACTATTGTAAAGCATTCTACCAAAAGATATATAAGTTGAATAATTGATTTAATAAAGAAAATGTTCATTTCTAAATTCTTTTATTTAACAATATTTATCATTACAACTATTGTAAAGCATTCTACCAAAAAATATTGTTCTATTAGGTATGAATTTAAACTAATTACAATTTTTGCAAAAACCTATGACATCATAGGAGGGTGGAATTACCTTAACACAACGGGAATTTTGAAAAAAAAAATTTATACATATAATATCTTCCATCAGATATACCTTAAAGGGGTGTTGTAAATATTCTTGGTCTGGATTAACTTCTATAAGAGTCCACTTTTTCGCATCGAGACTCGTGGCTGGTATGCTGTGGAAAGTGTAGCCTGGGTGTTCGCCGACCTTTTGAGGGAGGAAATCAAACACGAATACAAAAACCATTATCAACAAATTATGCTATCAATATCTTAGCAAAATTTCATTTTATAGAATCTATGTTTCAAAACGGATGTTAGTTTTTCCGAAATCAAATGAGTGAGCATAAATCTCTTCTGTTTAAATCTAGTTAATGACAATTTTGATGAAACAGATTAAAAATAACAGGCATATGACACCTGCTTTTGTATCATTGAAAACATTGTTATGTGCACCCAATGATAAAGATATTTGTTATTTAGAAAAGTTTCTTTGCCAAATCTATTGGACTATTATTATACCCGCACTTTCTAAAGAAAGTTCGGGTATATTGTTGTTACTCATGTCCGTCCGTCCGTCTGTCACACTTTTCTCCCCTGAACTCCTCCTACATTTTACACTGTAGCTTAATCATCTTTTGGGAGATGGTTGGTGGTGTCATGTAGATGTGCGGTAAGGTTTCGGAATTTTGATTTTGCCCCGGGGGGTCAAATGGGGGTCGAAAAATGACGTTTTTTATGCTAAAAGCCCCGTCTTCCCTGAACTCCTTCTACATTTTACTCAGCAGCCAAGTCATCTCTTAGGAGATGGTTGGTGGTGTCATGTAGATGTGCAGTAAGGTTTCAGAATTGTGATTTTGCCCGAGGGGGGGTCAAATAGGGGTCGAAAAATGACATTAATTTTTATGCTAAAAGCCCTGTCTTCCCTAAACTCCTCTTAATTTTACTCAGTATCCTAATCATCTTTTAAGAGATGGTTGGTCGTGTCATGTAGATGTGCAGTGAGGTTTTGGAATGTTGATTTTGCCCGAGGGGGTCAAATGGGGGTCGAAAAATGATGATATTTATGCAAAAAGCTCCGTCTTCCCTGAACTTCTCTTACATTTGCCTCAGTAGCATCTTTTAAGAGATGGTTGGTGGTGCCATGTAGATGTGGAGTAAGGTTTCAGAATTTTGATTTGGTCTGGGAGGGGGGTGTCAAATAGGGGTAGGATTTTTCTTTTTTTTATATATATATTTGATATGTTTAATCACCCTGCTTTCAAGAACTTCCCTAATATTGTATGCATTAGCTTTTAACCATGATCATTTGGAAAATGATTGGTTTCTTTTGTGTATGTGTAAAATAGTCGCAAAATTTGCATTTTCATGTGGATGGCAAAAAGGGGCAGGAAAATATGGCCCCTCTCTAACCCAGGGGGTCATGATTTGTACAAATTTGAATCTACACCTCTTGAAAATGTTTCCATATTAATCATGCTCTTGTTGTTCTTGAAAAGAAGAATTTTTGAACATTTGTTTCCTTTTATTCCTAAATAAAACTTTTGACACTTAAGCCTTTGAGGTGATGATTTGAAAAACTATAAATATGTCTATAAGACATGAATGTCCTGCCAGATGTACATTACTAATGCTACTGTACATGAAAGTTTGTATTGTGTCTAAAGTTGGATGAAAATATCTTGAACAGTTTCTTTAGAATTGAAACTAAAATCTAAATAATGGATATAGATGATAAATTCTAAACAAATTATGTATAAGTGCATGCTAAACATAAAAATGTCTTAAATCACTTCTTTAAAACTAAGCAAAATACAAATTAAAGAGGAGGGACTCGGGTCAAGGTCACAGGATTGTGCAAGGTGAAGTTTTTGATGCAGTTGAATAGCTCTCACTAATACATATCAGCATATTATGTTTGATAAAAATATCTTGAAGGATCTAATGAAACTGAGCTTAACAATTTTTTTAAAAAGAGAGGTCAAAGGAAAGGTTGGGGTCAAAATGTTGTTGCAGTTAAAAAGCTTACATCAGTATAAATTTACTATTAGCATATAAAGTTTAATAAAAATATAATTGATGGTTTATTTAAAACTTAGATAAACACATATTTTAAAAAGTGATGTCAAGGTCAAAAGAAAGATCAAGGTCAAAATAAGTTGATGCATTAATAGCTCTCAGCAGTATGTATTAGCATATAAAGTTTGATAAATATATCTTGAATTGTTTATTCAAAACTGATATAGACATTAATTTTAGAAAATCATGCGCGGATCTAGAGGTGGGTCGGGGGGGTCAGGACCCCCCCCCCCACCCTTTGGAATTTACCAGGCAAAAAAATCTATATATTCCTATGTAAAACTTTGATCGGCCATTTTGGCCCCACACTACCCCCGGGGGTCATGATTTGAACAAACTTGAATCTACACTACCTGAGGACGATTCCACATGAGTTTCATCTTTCCTGGCCCAGTGGTTCTTGAGAAGAAATTTTTTTTAAAAAATGCCATTAATTTTTCTCTTATTCATAATTATCTCCCCTTGGAAAAAGACAAGGCCCTTTATTTGAACAAACTTGAATCCCCTTTACCCAAGGATACTTTGTAGCAAGTTTGGTTGAAATTGGCCCAGTGGTTCTTGAGAAGAAGATGAAAATGTAAAAAGTTTACAACGACGACAACGAGGACGACGACAACGAGGACGACGACAGACAAGGGACAAATTTTGATCTGAAAAGCTCACTTGAGCCTTTGGCTCAGGTGAGCTAAAAACTATACATGTATTCCTAATCATGGCGTGGCATAAAAAACTTGAATCTACATTATATGAGGATGTTTCCATATCAAGATTATACAAGCAAATTCAAAGAATTGTGGTCCTCTGCTTTCTGTGTTTTAGTGAATGGGATGCCATAATTTATGGCAGATTATGTGTCAAACATGCACCCCTATCATATGTCAATTTATGAAAATTAGGTCAAAGGGGAAAAGTCATCGGAAATATTTTTTTTCAGGTAATGTACGTCAAAAGGTCAAGGTCTCACTTGGGTTAAAGAATCATAGTACATTTAGAAAGTTTTGTGGTAATGTACATGTGAAATATAAACATGATGAAAGCCCTATCTCTTATTATTAAAAAGTTATGACCAAGGTTAAATTTATTGTGACAGATGCACATACTGTCAAAGATGGACAGGCTGACAGACAAATGAGATTTAATGTTCCCTCCCTTTCCCAAAAAGTGGGGACAATAATGCCCTTGCTGTTCTTGAAAAGAAGACTTATAATGGAAAAAATCCCCTGCATATTTCTTAATGCAAATCAATATTGTGTTTTTATGTCATTTGTTTGTTTGTTGTTAAACATCCCTCTCAGGAATTTTTTACTCAAATGGAGACACCACCACTTGAAAAATAATGAGGACAAGTCAGATTTGAGGTCAACATTCATTTAAGGAGTTTTCAACCATTAAGAATTAAAGAGATATGAACTCGATCCTTCCCCTCACCCCTTCCCAGACCCCTGTTTATTCATGTATGCAAACTACTACTTGTTTTTACATTTAAAAAAAATGTTAATATATACAAATAGTTTAATGTGGTTCATTTCTTTGAATGATTTTAATTCCTAATTCTTGGAGGATAGGTTGATGAATAAAATGTCAAGCAATCTTATCATTGGTGCACTTTTATTTAATTTAATGCAGTTGTGAACATTTCCAGTTCATTAGGAGAGTGGGAATGACCTCCATGGGTTCATAACCTTTATACCATTATTATTTACATAACATATTAACACAAAAAAAACAAAATTTTGTATAGTCAAATGGAAAAAAAGTTTCCTACTATTTAGGAGTCACATGATCATTTGTCATTACAGGAACAGGGAGTGGATTGGGAGACCCCCCCCCCCCCGGAATTTGCAGGAATATAATATATACTGAAGCAAATATAAATGACTTTGGATGCCCACCACCCTAGAAAACAGACCCCACCATAACTTCTCTTTTTTTTTTGGCTTCTCGGGAAATTCTGTCTGGTCTGAAAATCCTTCCTCCCTCCCAGAAAAAAAATTCTGTATCTTGTAACTGAATATAACGTCGATAGCGGGCGATAACTCTTCAGAATGTGAAATTCGTCTTATTGCAGGACCTTTAATCTTTAAACTTTAACCTAACCAGTTGCATTTCAGACTATTTTACCTAAATCTATACAAAAACTTGTACTTACCGACTGTCATAGGTCCCGTCAACTTCATGAAACATAATCCAATTAAAACACAAACAATTCCTACTGACATACATGCAATGATGTGTACACCACACTAGTACTGCACGTGCAGTGCAATCTAAAAATGATAATGGTAAAACTAGTACTTAAGTTGGGTACGTGACGCAAGCCCAATGTGATGCAGGTGTTCAGATACATTTATAGAACAAAAACAACTTTAAAGTTATCATTTACAAAAAGATGTTTTATCTTAACTCGCCATCTAGGCCAATTATTCAAATTCCAAAAACAGGCAAATAGGGTGTGTGTGTGTGTGTGTGTGTGTGAGTGTGTGTTTGTAAACACCGCCAATTGAACCAGACACCAAGAATACACACCAATCAACTGATCACCTGGAATTCAAATGGACACCCGAACACAGGTGTTCAGTTGAAATAACGTCATTTTCGTGTTGCTCTCATTCATTTCACATCGCATCATCTCGGGTATTTCCGTCATAGGTCGGAAATACATTTTGCGCTTGTCGGAAATGATCCAGAAATTTCGATTGATTAAATTTCATCGGAAAAAATAAAAAATATATGAGTGTTCATTTGGAGCCAATTTCCTGATTTCATTTACACAGTGTGTGTGTAATTTTCTACTGCAATTCCCTTCTTTACACAGAAAAATTTGCGCATGCGTAAACGGAATATCGGAAGTAAATGTTTAACGACACAATTGATACACGCTGTGACTTATGAATGACCTCGTGGATATATTTTCTGATGTCACAGTGATTATTAAGGTATGTTTACTAAAATGATGATTTCATGGAATACATACTTACAACTCATAAAACCTCATTGCTGATTGACAACTAATACTTTTTTGTCAAGAACAAGCTGGGAAAAATGCATTATTTTGCTAAAAAGTATACATCCATAATTAATTTTTATTTTTTATCCATTGGTGGAAAAGAGTTTCTTCCACAATTGTTTATCTAGGATTTTTAATTAAATTCAAAAGGGGGGGGGCTTAGATACATAAGTAGGCCTACTGTCCTACGGACGCGGTTTAACTCAGTAAGGGCTTGTACCGAGACACAGATTATTCAAACGGGGGG